GATAATGGACTTATTTGTATTTACCATGTCTCATCAAAAGATTAGCTTGCAGACATTCTTACCAAGTGACTTAATAATTCTACCTTTTTGGGACTGGTTACCAAGCTTGGAATGACATATATGTATTCCGCAGTTTGAGGGGGAGTGTCAAATATTGACCCTGCCATCCTAGTCATCCCTTCCCTCTCCGATCCCATGGCTTGCATGAGGATTTCTGGGAGGTTCACCTTGTTTACACCAATCTCCTTCCATATTTGGGTGGTTGGCTTAGGGAAGATTATTAATATAATTATGCATTATTCTATTATTAATTATTTCCTTAATAAAATATCCCTATTGATCTGTAAATAGGGAGAGCTTTATGTAATAAAATTAAGCATTTTATCTCTCCAATTCTCTGAATTTGACACATTTTCTTAAAATTGGATAATGGGAAGAATTTGTAATGACAAGCTCAAATAGTTTGCTTGATTGATGATTTAGATTTGGAGAACTTGAAAGTAATCACATGATTGTAAATCTTTATTAAAAGGGAAACTGGTCAAACACTATAATATTAGCATAGTTAAAACGTACTTGTAACTTCTGCAATAATGTGTTCTTAAACATGCCACTTAATTTTCAGTTGAAACTTGAAAGTAATATTTCATCATACTGCATAAGTACAAAATCAAATAAATTAAAATGAAGAATTAATCTCATAAACACCCACATCGATATTTCATATCCAAAGAGAGCCTAAATGAATTTTATTTCATAGCAAATCATTGCTGTTTATCTTTTAGCGATTGGTTTATCATATTGCTATCTATTTTTAACAAGTCTTCACTAAGGGGAATATAAAAATACGTAGCATTCTGCATATTTAAGATGATTGTTGATGGTTGGTTAGTTTTTTATGCAATCAATAAATATAGGGGAGCCTATATCTCTTGATCGCAAGAAGAAAAAGACTTCCTATATAAAAGAAGACACAAAATACCTAAAAAAGAAGGGATAACTTAGAACAAACTCTTACATTTCAAATTTAACTAAGAAACAGAAATTACAAGACTACATATGACGACTCTTGTAAACAAAATGACATCCTAAAATTGCTTCACTATTAGAAGAGGGATACAGGTGGAATGGCACTTGCGGAGAGACGAAGAGATTAGAAGACCTAGAAGAAAGGTTGGAAAGAGCTCGCAAGATTTCCGGAGGGGATGAGAAAGAAGACGGACAAAGATCGCAAGCTTATCCAAGCAAACCCGCTGGTTATAGCTTTTCCAAAAATCACATTTCATTCAACTTTTTCAAACATTACAAGCCCCTCATATTTATAGGTATGAAAGGGGAATACAAAGTGACACATACATTAAATTATCACAAGAACCCAAACATCACAAGCATGGAAACCCCCTCCCATGTATCACGGAAAATCGCCCAAGCCCAGGAACTGAAGGAGCAGCCGCGGAAGCCAAGGAGGCCGCACGGAACCAAGGCGCCACAGCCACGGGAAACCTCCCAGGCTCGGAAAACCAGCAGCCGGCCGGAAATCGAAGGGGCAAAGGCACAAAAAATAATAGCCCATGGTGGAAGCCAAGGAGCCACCGCATGGGAAAACGAAACATCATTCTTGGGATTCCAAAAGCCCTTTTGGAACCCAAGAGACATCATAAATAAAAACAATAAAAAACTATAAAAATTACATTTAATAAAAGATAAATATGAACTAAAATGTTAGCTAATAATCATTGTTTAAAATTGCGTATTCGGGTATTGAGGCGTTTTTCATTCATGAGGCGAGGCGTAAGCCTCAAGGCGTTTTGAGGCGTAAGCCTCAAACTCAAAAGATTGCGTAAACATAAAATGATAATTTTTTTATATACTAATGAGTGAATAATATAAAACATAAAAAAAAAATATAAGATATGAAGTGAAATCAAAATATCTCAATAATAAGACAACATGAACGAGGGAGGCCAAAATTGATTTATTTTGGACATGAGTTGACCCCCCTTTGTCTACATCAGTTTTGCTTTTACCATTATGAATTTTCACTTTAAAAATTAACTATTTAATAAATAATTAAATGAGTTTCAAATTGAGATTGTAGCAACTTTAATTATTGATATTTAGATTTTTTTTTCCTTGTGGATGTATGCTGGCTAATTTTATCAAAATTGAGTTTTCATGTTAGTTTGGGGCATGCGACTGAAATGAACTAAGAATGAACAAATGGAGTTATGTATGTTGGAGTGAAATTGGGAATGTGTGCACTTGAACCCTATTGTCAGCATGAACCCAAGTTGATATCACGAGTGGATGGCCTAACAAAATATCTAATGTGCCTTTTTTTTTCATCGGGTTAGTGCATTTCTGGTGCTCCCCTAACCGCATGGCGGTCGGCATTGACCCATCTCGATGAACGTTAGAAAAGTAATCTCTATGGTGTTGCCAGGTGTAAGACTTGTTGGAAAGGAGTCTTTTTATTACTAGGAATTGGATGAGTTCTACGGATGTGGATGTGCACAATCTTTATTCATTTTCATTTGCTACCTCCATTTAAGGATTTGGCAATCCTAACATGGAAGGATTAGGCAACTCTATTGTGTTGCCATGTTGAAAGGGTTTTTTTTTGTTACTAGGAGTTGGCTGAGTACTATATGTGTGCACAATTATAATTGATCTCCCTTCTCTGCCTTTTTTTTTGTTACTAGGGAGTTGGATGAGTACTATATGTGGGTGGTGGTGTAACTACTCTTCCTTTTGTTGAAGTGGGGAGCTGTTAAGCTTTGATTGACCTAGTTAGCTACTAGGGATGTAAACAAGACGAGCTTAGGTGCTTGTTCGTATTTAACTCATTAAAATTTATGTTTGTTTGAAATCGGCTTGTGTTTGAAATTATTCAAACATGCCATATTAGCGTTTGATTTGTTTTTATTTAATTGATTAATATTTTCAAATATTAATAGTTTTCTTTTTATATTAAAAAGCAACAAAATATTATAATATTATTAATTTTATTTAAAACTTGCTAAACATTTTCAAGATGATCAGTGTGTTGCCGCCCTAATGCTGTACATGGCCCACTTATGTAGAAATGCTTAGTTGTTTGAAGAATCGGGCACTACAATGATGTTTTTTTCCTTTATTGTTTAGAAAGGGTATAACTCTACACTTATAAATGATGGGGGACTAGATGGATAGGGCTTTGTTCTGGACTTGTCCAAAAGGCTAGAGACTGATTTTTATGCTTTTTTTCTCATGAAACATAACATGAGATTTTTTATATGGGCTAGTTACGTGTTGTCTTATTTAGGCCACGTACAAGAGATTTTTATGCTTCACAACTAATACTTAATCTTGTCCAAATGTATTAAAAATAAAAAATAAAAAAATCAACATTGTATTATATATTATTTATTTGATCATTTATTAATTTCAAGCTTAAAATGAGCAAAACATGGTTTAACAAAGGTTTATTTGTTTTCGGCTCGTTTACTTAATGAACGAATCAAATACGAGCTCTATAACAAGCCAAAAATGAGTTGTTTGTGAACAAAAAGCTTTTTCAATAGCCTTGTTTAGCTATCAAGAGGAAACGGATGGTCGGTAGGTATAACTCTTTTGAATACATTGGGAGATTTTAGTGCATTAAGTTTAACATGTTTCTTTAAATATTTTAATGGTGATTCTTAGATTTTGCTATTATGGAGAATAATAGTATTCCATTCTTTGCCAGTGTCTGATATACAAATGATGGTATGAGTATTTCCATTTTCCTTATGAATACTTGTCTGACTATGAGAATTCTAGAATGTTGATAGGAAGCGCTTGTATTCACAAGCAACCTATCCAAAATCGGCGAACCAACAGCAGCCAAATGGCTGTCCACAGCAGGAAAACAGCACTTGTTCGGGAAAATACGGGAGAAAACTCAAGAAAAGACTTGTATTCCACTTAGACGATGAATAAAAGAGCAAGATACAATTGATCCTCAATTCGAGAGGAGGATCGATCTCTCCCAAATCTCTAGACGCCGCTAGAGCCCAAAGAAACCTAAATCTACGAGATCTCAAATTTCAGCCAAATTCAAGATGCCCAAACCCTAGGAAAAACATCTATTTAATGCATACAAATCAAAAGGAATTCCCTAAACAGTCCCTACATTCAAATTTCCCTCTCAAAACGCTAAAAAACGCTTCCTAAAATGATCTCTTCGGCTGGTCGGGCCGCTCGATCTCCGCAGGAGGCGGAGATCACGCGACATTTCGCGTCTGAGCCGGTCCCGTGCGGACCGGCTGGACCGGTCCAGTGGACCGGTCTAACAAATGTGTGCATGAGGTGAATCTTATGAGAATGGGTGAACTTAACAGTATGAATGGTGTCTTTTTAGAACATTCTTTTTATAAGCTTATTCAATAGATCTTGCATTTTATTTTGAATTTATTTTAGATGCTAATAATTTTAAGTTTTGAATCATAATTAAGATTCTGTTCATCTTTTTTAGATGTCCTTTTTTAAAGTTGCAAATGTCTATCTCAAGTAGTTTGGATCTGATGTATTTATTGCATTATTCCTTTTATGCATGGGGGAACTTGAAGGACTCCTCTATATGCAACTTTCTATTTTCATTCACATGCACATTGTTCAAATCATTCATGCTATAGCACTAGCCCTTTATTTAAAAGGAGAAAATTTGGGTCTAGATATACTTATTCAAATTTGATTATGACAATTTTTCTTGCTATCAGATTTGTTCAAGATGAGTTTACTATATGTCTAATCAATCAACTTTTATATTTTACTTTATTTAAAGTAAATCTAATGATTAGAAAATTTGATTGATGATATATTGAACTAAAATTTTCCTTTTTTAAAACCGGTTACTTTAATAGTTACTGCAGAGAGATATTATAATAAGGAAATAGGAACTTAAAAGTACATCATTTAAGATTTGGAGTAATGCTGTATTAATATCATTAATCTTTTTCTACCTGTATTTTTTTTTTCAGGGATTTGCTGCCTGCATATCCTCATCTACGCTTGGTTGGTACAGCTACTTTTACCATGATTATACCTTTGACCATAATCTGGTTCTGGATAACTCTATTCTATCATTTTAGACCTAAATGTCTATAGAATTGTTCATGTTTGATGAATGCTTTATCTTTTTCTGTTCAAGCTAATAGATTCTCATGAGTGCCACATTTGATGCTGAGCGGTTTTCGAAATACTTCAGTGGCTGTCCTGTCATTCAGGTTCCAGGATTCACATACCCTGTAAGAACCATTTCGATCGATTTCTCAAATATAGTTTTGGTTTCTCTTGAAAGATATTCCTTTGTTGTAAATTGTAATGCAAAGGTTTTGATTTAGGTGACGACTTATTTTTTGGAGGATGTGCTATCTATTTTAAGATCATCAGATGAGAATCACCTAGCTACTGCTGCCTTAAGTGGCGTGGAGGAGGTTGTTCCATTGACAGAAGAGTACAAGACCGCCCTTGATGAGTCAATTCATTTGGCTTTATATAATGATGAATTGGAACCTTTACTGGAGATAATTAATGCCCAGCAAAACCCCCAAACTTACTGTTACCAACACTCATTGACGGGAGTGTCACCATTGATGGTGCTTTCTGGCAAAGGTAGAATTGGTGATGTTTGTATGATGCTTTCCTTTGGTGCTGACTGCTCTTTGACTGATAATGATGGAAGGTCAGCCATCGATTGGGCTCAGCAAGAAAATCAGTTCCAGATCTATGAAATCATTAAAAGACACATTGAGAAAGATACGTCCAAGTCAGCTGAAGAGGAGGACCTACTGAACAAGTACCTAGCAAGCATCAATCCTGAAAATATTGATACTATTCTAATAGAGCGTTTGTTAAAAAGGATATGTACAGATTCTAGTGAAGGGGCTATCTTAGTCTTTCTTCCCGGATGGGCTGATATCAATCAAACTAGAGAGAGGCTACTTGCTTCAGGGCTTTTTAAAAATTCCTCAAAGTTTATGATACTTTCTCTCCATTCCATGATTCCAATTGTGGAGCAAAAGAAGGTTTTCAAGCATCCTCCTAAGGGCGTCCGTAAAATTATTCTTTCCACAAATATTGCTGAGACTGCTATAACAATTGATGATGTTGTTTATGTTATTGATTCTGGTCGAATGAAAGAGAAAAGCTATGATCCTTACAGCAATGTTTCTACGTTCCATGCATCATGGATTTCAAAAGCTAGTGCTAAACAGCGAGAGGGGCGTGCTGGGCGTTGCCAGCCAGGAACTTGTTATCATCTCTATTCTAAAGTCCGCGCTGCTGCTTTGCCAGATTTCCAAGTTCCAGAAATTAAACGAATGCCAATTGAAGAATTGTGTTTGCAGGCAAGTTTGTGTTCACATATCATTGTCCTTGCTCAAACTTCTACTTATGTTTTCGGTAAGTTGCTTATTTAGTTTTTTTTTTTTTCATGGCAGGTTAAACTTCTTGATCCAAATTGTAGAGTAATTGAGTTCCTTCAGAAAACTTTGGACCCTCCTGTCTTTGAGACTATACGAAATGCAATCATTGTCCTTAAAGATATTGGAGCCTTGACTGAAGATGAACAGCTGACAGAACTTGGGGAAAAACTTGGTGCTCTTCCAGTTCATCCATCAACAAGCAAGATGCTTTTGTTTGCTATCTTGATGAATTGCCTCGATCCAGCTCTAACTCTAGCCTGTGCAACCGACTACAGAGAGCCGTTTATTCTTCCAATGGTCCCGGATGAGAAGAAAAAAGCAGCTGCAGCTAAAGTTGAGCTGGCTTCTTTGTATGGTGGTTACAGTGATCAACTTGCTATTGTAGCAGCCTTTGAGTGTTGGAAGAATGCAAAGAATGGCAGTCAAGAGTCACAGTTTTGCTCTAAGTATTTTGTTTCATCAAGTACCATGAATATGTTACTGAACATGCGAAAGCAGCTTCAGAATGAACTTATGAAGGCCGGTTTTATTCCCGAGGATATGTCCAGCTGTAGCTTAAATGCCCAAGACCCAGGTGTCTTGAGGGCGGTGCTCATGGCTGGAACTTATCCCATGGTGGGAAGGTTTCTCACTCCGCGAAAAAATAACAGAAGAGTAATCGTGGAGACTATTAGTGGTTCCAAAGTTTTATTGCATCCTCATTCCTCCAACTTCAAATTGTCATTTGAAAAATCTGCGGTCAGTCCAATTATTGTTTATGATGAGATAACTCGTGGGGATGGGGGTTTATTCATAAAGAACTGTTCTGTTGTTTCTCCTTATCCGTTATTATTGCTTGCCGTGGAGATTGCTGTTGCTCCTCCACATGATAATGATGATGACAGTGAGGAGGATTCGGAAGCATCAAGTGGAGAGGAAGATGAGATGGATGTGAACATGTCATCGGAGCAGCGTGAAAACCAACTCATGTCATCTCCTGATAATGCTGTCACAATTGTTGTTGATAGATGGCTAAAATTTCTATCAACGGCCCTTGATGTCGCCCAGATTTATTGCTTGCGTGAGAGATTAGCAGAAGCTGTGCTGTTTAAAGTAAGACATCCTTTCCATCTCTTAAACAAATGGCCTCACAAAGACAGAGAAGTTCTTTCTTTGTTCATAGACCATAATCGAATTGCAAATCCTAGTCTATATTCTGTTTTTTAGTTTTAAATATAATATAAGGACCGACTGTTTGCATAATATTTAACTTAGGTTGATGTTGGATAGGCCAATTTCCAATTTTGTTACTTCTTGTTAGCTTCTCATATGGTCTGTTGACAATCTGGATCTACTGTCCAGGGAAGATGCCTTGTGATGACCTGTTCATAGCAGTATAGCTAACATGTACTGGAGATCGATTTGTTTACAATGTCTCTTCCTATTTATATGATTTAATGGCTATTTTAAGATTTGATTAGTTTTTTCCGAGTGATTTTGTTGGATAAATTTTCTCATCCATCCTCAATGGATTGAGATATTTTGTGATGAAACACGACATAAAAAATAATATATTATCTGTTATCATGTAGGAAAAAAATATTATTTCGCTGTGAACTCTATAACAAAACTCATTATTTTATATTTTAATATAGATTTTCCCCTATTCAATAGTTAGTGTAAGAGGGTTTATTTTATTTTGAGGTACGGATGCCCTATATGGGTAACTCCTTATGGTTAATTATATCTCAAGCATTTATTACTTGAGAGTACTTTCGATTGAACTAGTGATTTCCTTATAATAAATAAAATATTGGCTAATATTTGTTTTTAAGTTTGAGAAATTCTTGTTTAGAGATTTGATCTTTGGGAATTTGAAGGGAAATATGATCAACTTTAAATCAAACTTTTAAGAATGAAAGCCAAAGGGAGGAAAATGTAGGAGCACTTGTTTCTGAGAAACTTAGAGGTGCTCAAACTATCATATATTGGATTTTATATTTTAAAATTAGATTTTTTTTTGAATGAGTTGATCAATTTGATTTTAAGAAGTTAGGGCTTATATTCCAACCACATAAGCTGAAGGAAATGTTCGAAATGTGAGGGCTTATGAGATGATTGGAGTCAACATTAGTTTTGGATCCTAGATTTAAGGTGAGGACTACTGAGAGGTAGTATCTCAAATATTTTTCTAATGTACACCTCACCTCAGGTTAAGTCAGTCCAACCTATGTACTTATAACCCTGTTTGGAAAGGGCTGTTAACTAATTCACCTAAATGTTTTTAAAATCAAGTGGTCCGATCTCAATGCATATGAAGGATGGGGAAGACAATTTTGATTTAAAAGATAGGGCTTACAACTTGGCTTTTTGGTCAAGAGGCCTAAGCATGTGGGTATTTAAATGCTGACTCATTGAATGTAGATTTATTTATTATTTAATCCTTAATATGAGGGTTTTCTATATGAAATATACCGATCATGTATGATCATTTTATTTTGAAAACCTGTTTCATTAGAGTGAGTCATGCAATTATTTTGTTAATTTAAAAATCATTTATCCTATGATTGATTTTAGGTTATTTACATTTTTAGTTGGTAGAAATCTTAATTTTGTCATAAGTGCGTATTGAATATCACATGTCCAGGTCATTCTCACTTAAAACATGTGAATAAATCTAAGAAAAAATATGCATTTCTAATGCACACTCAATGAACAAGCCATCACATGTATGTATAATTAACCAGTACGAAAGGAAAATATAAAATCCAAATTATTACAATTATGAGTGACTGTTGAGTTGTTTGCCTTACACAACTCAATTACATTTTCTTTTACAGACTCAGCCTATGAGTCTTCAAGTTTTGGCTTCTATAAGCATTTAGGATTTCACACGAGGGGTTTATCCTTCTGGTTCATCTCTCTTGTGATTGTATCCCACAGGCCAACAATATTTTCTTAGTCTATTAAATACATTTGAAAAGTAAGACTCAAACCTACAAAATAGGGGGATTAGGAAGCATGTAATATTTGAGCAAAAAAAAAAAGCATCTCAAAGTTGTCTAGCACTTTAAGTGTCAAGTCCCGTTTTTATCCCATTCGTCATGCATCTTTAGGAGTTTTAAGCAACTCCTGTAAGTTAGTATTTTTATAATAATGAATTATTTACTCACTTTTGGACATGATCACCTACTAGAAAAAATCACATTTATCTTTATTTTAACCACTTAAGGGCAAGTGTCCACAATGCAGACAATTTAAAAATTATCACACCAAATACATCAACTATATGTACAAAAAAAAAAAAAAAAAAATCTAATCGTAGCATAACTAAAGAGTTGTGCATTTAAGTGTGTGTTAATTTATGTGACATGTTTCACTATAAATGGTGTCTTAATTTATTGTGGAATGGAAGATATTTGATTTTAATCCATAGGTGGTTCCACTTTAAATTGTTTATGATTTGAAGCTTTTATTTAATTTTTAATTGTTTCATATTTATAACAGTTATGAAGAACTTGTAGAGTAATCACTGCTTGCTTTAAGACAAGTTTGTTTTCTTGCTGTCTTAAGATTCAATGATGTAAGCATTCCCATTTTGGGCTAAAATAATTTATCATTGAATAAAAAGGAAATTAAGTGATTTTGATGTGTTTTTTAGGATTCTCTTGGTGTTTGGATAAAAGAGAGATGCTTACATAATAGCATAAACTCATAAAGTAAACTTGCATATGGGTTTAGCTTAGGATTTTGTGAAATTCATCTAATTGGTTAAGTTGAATTTCAGAATGAGACATAAGGAATGTCTAAAGGTTTAATATTATATGTCATAAAAGGATGATCACTTGTTTTAGTTAAGTGATAACTGATAAGATACTTAAGAGTTTGGGTCTAAGTTGAGTTGCCAATTGATTAGGGATCAATTAGATGAATATGATGAAATATCTAAATGTTTGGAGCTAAAGGTAGAAAGGATCCCATAGCTTTTAGGCTAAGGGATGCGGGAAATTCCCTTTAGTTTTGGAACTAAAGAGAATAGAACAAACCTATTGCTTTAAGGCTAAGGGTTCAAAGAGAATCCCAACAATTTTGAGGTTGAGAGGCATATGATAGAACCTATAACTTTTAGGCCAATGAATTGAGGGATCTCTTTAAATTTTGGGTTAAATGAGAAATGAGTTAATACTTAGTCATTGGACTAAAGTTAGGAGGAGTTCCTATGGCTTTTAAAACTAAGGAAGGGAAGGAAGATGTTCAACCTCTAGATTTTATATAAAATGTTGAAGAATTCTCTTTAGCTTTGTAGCTAAGGTGAAACAAATCAATCTCATAGATTTGAGGCTAATGAGTTGGAGGATTCCCGTAGCTTGTGAGCTCAAAGAGGAATGATACATTTCTATTACTTTTAAATGCATAGGGATTGTATGATTTGTGATATTTAGGATCATAAATTAATCATAAAGGGATCATTGAAATTTTGTGTTCAATGAGAAAGGTTTGATTTGCTTAATGTGAATGTAGCAAATAGATTTGGCAAGTAGAAGGATGATGTGTCGTTTTGGGCTACAAATCATAAGAAATTTTTTGAACTTTTGGGTGCCCAAATAGAGATGTTCATTCACTCAACTTCGGTTAGGAGAATTAAAGTGAGGTCGGACTTCGATTCTTATGTTTGAGGTGAGATTATTTGTTGATTTTGACTCAACAAATGAATTAGTTGGATGTATATTTGATCCCTAAGGTTGGCTAATCCTCCCCTAAACTTTCTAAAAATCATGTTGTAACTTCTATGTGAGTTTAGGGAAACACTAAACAAGAGATTGGAGAACTTCCTATTATGGTTCATGAGAATATTTCTAAAATTTAAAGTGTTGTAGAGATGAGGATGCTCGGGTGGATGATTGACTTTACACTTAGAGACAATGCAAAACGAGTATGCACGTGAAAAGGTTAGAATATATCCAGTGGAAAATTAAATTAGAGTCGCCTTAGATGGCTTGGTTGCTTAAAACATTGGCCTTTTAATGACCCAGTTATGCGAGTAGATGTATTAGATCCAGCATATGTTAGACCTAAAAAGACTTGGTTAGAAAATATTAGAAATAATATTTTTTTATTAGATTTAAATGAGAATTTGACTCTTAATAGAACGCAATGGAGAAAAAGGATTCATGTAGCCAATCTCATCTCGTGGGCTAAAAGCATGGGCGGAACCACATGCAAGTTAGGGGGGCAATTGCCACCCCTCAAAAAAAAAAAAAAAAAACTTTATAGGAGAATAATTGTTTTTTTGCCCCTCCTAAAAATCACTTTTACCGCCTCCCTAAAAAATTCTTTTGTCTTAATTTACCCAATATTCTTTCCAAATGCCCCCCCTTAAAAGCCTTTTTATACTAATCCTAATGATGACAAGTTTTAATCTACTTCTAATCATAAATACATACCCTAAAATATCTATGTATTTCTTCATATTTAGTTATAATATTTTCTTTCATACTCTTATGACAATTTTATTACATAATTTTTTTTCTTCATTTTTCTTGCTTAACTTTTTTAAACTTTTTGTAATATATTTTAATATTTAATTATTTTTGTATTGAATTTGCCCCCCCCCCCCCCCTTCAAAATTGAAGTCGGTTCCGCCCCTAGATAAAAGTTTATTGTTGCCGTTGTTGTTGTTGTTACTATGATTTTATATATTTTCTGAGTCATTTCAAAAAGAAAAAGCCAAAAACCAGTTTTGCTTATATGGAATTGCAGGTGAAGAAACCACGGGCAGTTCTACCTCCTGCACTTGGAGCATCCATGCATGCTATTGCTTGCATCCTCTCATATCATGGGCACCCTCACATATTGGCTGTGGATGAATCCATTGATCCCCATGAACCAACGTTGGAACCCTCTGACATGAGCAGATACAATCAGGGAAGAAAGGTGAGTGTGGTCACTCCCAGTAGCTACTTGAAGTCATTGATGTCAGATAATGGCAGGCAAACCTTCAAAAACTTTCACAAGTTCCATGGACCAGCTCTGCCAACTTCTGCTTCTGCTTCCTCCGCATCGAATACTCCTTTACCCAGGATTCGGCACAATAAACCTTCTGCTAAAGCTCCAGGTCATGGCAATCCTTCAAATCCCAAAAAAAGTTCATTTAAACGTCGCCGAGGAAGTATGGGAAGCCATGGAGGTTGAAACCATTCATTTTCTTTTCTTTTCTCATCCTTGGCATAAGGTATTGTATGAATTGTGTACCCCTTTGTGCCCTAATGCTATTTGATGGTTTAATTTGGTTAAGGGCTTTGGATCTGAATGACCTTTGTTCCTCGTTACACAATCTGTTTTTATACATATGTTTAGTCTTTCACTTGCTTGCAGGTTTCTTTGTTTTTTATCTTTTTTTACAAACTGAAAAAGTTTAAATCGTGTATGTTATAATTTAAAGTATGGGGGATTTACATACATACCACTTTATTTCATGCTATTTACATATCTAACTCTTAAAACTTTAATATTGCATGTCTATCACTCATAGAACAAATATGAATGCATGGATGAAATATTAAAGTTTATAAAGCGATATGGGTTGTAATAATGAGATATATGAGTAATATATTTGAATTTAAAACTTTATATGGGTGATAAGAATGTAATTTTAAAATTTTAGGTGTTAGATATGCAAATTCATATATACCACTTTATTTCATGCTAATTAAATATCTAACAATTAAAATTTTAATATTATATGCCTACCACCCATAGAACAAATATGGGTATGAATGTAAATCCCCTTTAAAGTTTTTGTATTAAATTTTAAATCCATTAGTGTTTATAAGATTGTGATGGTTGTTAAATATTAAACAAAAATCAAAGTATTTACATTTATTTTCATGATTGATAAAATGTGATGTTTAAAGGTTTTAGAAGTCATTAATATAATTATTTTTCATGTGAATATGATTAGTATCATATGTATTGATTTTAAAATACATGATCTAAGTTTTAAATTAATCAAGAGAACTTGAGTTTGAAGTTTATAAGTGTGATGTATATATGAGTTTGTCTTTCTAATTTTAGGAAAAAAAATTGCTAACATTAAATACATAGATATCTTGCATGCTTGCTATAAGAAATTTTGAGAATTCTTAGTTTTGAAGCTATTTTGGAGAGGGTATTAGTCAATTGATATTTAGATGGAATCTTAGGCAATTAAATGATTTTTTCATCGAACTTTATATTGATGAATATATCTATTGCCTTATGAATAATATCATATATTTCTTTGTTGTATAATAGAAATGAATTGATTGTCTAGATGCTAAACTTTAACTCATATAAGAAAAATATTGGCCATGGTGTTTGTAGAGTTATATGGACATCTGTCTAAATTTAGTTCCAAAGCTTGAGTGAAGCATATGGTTTTTCACTTCTCCGTGTAGCAAGTGCCTCACCAATAAACATAAAGTACCCTCAAGTAGATCAAATGGTATCTATGTTTCTATGTTCTAAGTGGCAGTGTGCTTTCAAAAGGTTTAGACATTTGACATTTTATACAACACCACCACCAACAAGTCTTTATCCTACTATGTGGGATTGGTTACATGAATATTTTTTCTCCATTGTATCATGTTAAGAGTCAAATTCTCATCTAAATCTAAGAAATGACATTTCTAATATTTTCTAACCAAGTCTTTTTAGGCCTACCTCTATCTATCTTAATATAAGTAAAATTTAATACATCTACTTTTCTAACCGGGTCACCGGAAGACCACTTTTATGTGACCAAACCATCTAAGGTGGCTCTCTCTAATCTTATCTTCCATTGGAGCTATTCCAACCTTTTCACATATATGCTCATTTTGTATAATGTCTCTAAGAGTAGAGCCACTCATCCATCTGAGCATTCTCATCTCTACAACACTTAATGTGATGCCCCAAGATCAAACTTGGAAAGAATGTCAATCAATTACTCAAACAATTTACCAGAGTTATCTAAAACTTTCAAGTAGACAGTCTATCAAACATCTATGAAATTTAAAACATCAATATACAAGTCGATTCATATTCAAAAGTCATGTACAATACTCAGGAACTACACTACAATCACCAGTACTGAAATCTATCCTGAGTACAAAAGAATCAAAATCAATCAAAAGACAAAAACCTGAAGATCCGGATCAATTCCTATCTTCTGCTCCCTTGCCCTGACCTGAAAATATCAACCACATATAATGAGCTTTACAAAGCCCAGTAGGTCACCTAATATCTATAACTGAAATCAAAGCACGGCTATCACACAACAAGCCCGATGCACTCCTCAACTTCAACCATTCAACTTGAATTCTATTAATAATATCCTAATCTATTTCATCATCACTCTGAACAATATACCCACCCAAGATATCTAAAACGTGTTACTCCAAAGAAAATTCTTGTTAGTGATTCCAAATTAATTTTTATCATAAAATTATGTAGTTCATTCAATCACAAATCATTCGATATACAATGCAATATTATATCAATCAGTTATTCAAAGTAAAATTTCTTATTAGTCGGGCTTTCAAAATTTTATTGGTCTTCCTGATACTATAAGTTGTATACTTGTGACATCACTGAAATAGATGTCAATGGTCTTGCTGTAACAAACTTCCTCTAATCGCCACTAAAAGGTATATCGTCAACTCATTTTGTTGATTTTTACTATAAGCTATTGATCCTACAGTCCTCTATCCTTCATATTGTCTTGACTTTCTTGCTATAAAATCAATTCTTCCTCCAAATCCTCTTTGAGAATAATATGCTACTTTATGTTCTTATTGTCCATACTAAAAATATTATCCAGTTAAAATGTAGCATTGATATAAATATCTCCTTCCATAATAAAATCATTGTAGCTACTACTAGGTGCTATCAATCATCTACTAGAATCACCAAGTTAGCTTCTCTTATCACTGACACTTTCCCTATCCTTGCTTGTGTCGTCTATGGTCCTTCTCCTGCTCACATGATCATACCTGGATGCAGGTATTACAAAATTATTCTCTATCAATCTGGTGTTTTCCATTAATTCTAAAAACTCTTAAATCCATAGAGTTACTAATGGATACCTCAACTTCCTATTCAATCATTGTTGAAATTTGTAATATTTTTCTTAAGCTGTGTGAATCAAATGAGGAATGTACTTAGCCAGTGTAGTAAACTCAGCTTCATACTGCATCAATGTCTTGTGTCCTTCTGTTGTCGAACTAAGGGAGGTATAAATCATATTCTGAACACTATAATGAACTTTCTCAGTAATCTCTACATTTATTTTCCTCTAAAATTTCTTCTATATTGTCCTACTCTTTCCACTTCTCCTTCAAATAAAAAGACATGTAATAGCACCTTTCGATTATCTAGGCACTATATACTTTCGAAATTTTTTGTCTATTCTAAAAGCTCAATTTATGGTTGTTAGACCACTCAAACTACAATAGTAGACCAAGAGGAGGGTGAATTTGTATTTTAAAATTTTTCTTTTAAAAAATCCTTTTAAAAAACTTAATACTAAATTCAAAACTTATGTTTAAAAATAGATATTGTAATGCGGAAGCTAATGATATAAAAAAATCAAATGTTACTTTTTTATTTAAAAAAAAAAGTAAATATGAAAATATTTTTTCTTCTTTTTAGTTTTTTTATATTTATTTTCCTTTTCTGACAAAGTTTAAATCCAAACTATTATCAACGTTCTCCATCCAGATATAGACAAAAGTAAAATTGCAAGAAATTAAAGTACAACAAAAATAAGAATAAATACACCATAGATTTATAGTAATTAGATAAACTTTAACTTATGTCCACTCCCTGAAGTCTTTCGCTTCGAGTATTGCTCTAAAGTTCTTCCACCAACCCGGTGAGGCGGAGTAGCCAAATCCCTTTCACCAATGGTCTGGCGGAGTAGTTGAATCCCTTTCACCAATGGTACGACGGAGTTGCCGGTGGCCCTTTGACTCTGAGAGGTTCTACCTGGAGCTTCCCTTAAGTAAAACTTTGACTCATGTAGGAAGAAGATGGATGATGGCTTGAGCAACTGTGTGATATACAATGCAATATTATATCAATCAGTTATTCAAAGTAAAATTTCTTATTAGTCGGGCTTTCAGGTTTATATTGGTCTTCCTGATACTATAAGTTGTATACTTGTGACATCACTGAAATAGATGTCAATGGTCATGCTGTAACAAACTTCCTCTAATCGCCACTAAAAGTTATATCATCAACTCATTTTGTTGATTTTTACTATAAGCTATTGATCCTACAGTCCTCTATCATTCATATTGTCTTGACTTTCTTGCTATAAAATCAATTCTTCCTCCAAATCCTCTTTAAGAATAATATGCTACTTTATGTTCTTATTGTCCACACTAAAAATATTATCCAGTAAAATGTAGCATTGATATAAATATATCCTTCCATAATAGAATCACTGTAGCTACTACTAGGTGCTATCAATCATCTACTAGAATCACCAAGCCTGCTTCTCTTATCACTGACACTTTCCCTATCCTTGCTTGTGTCGTCTCTGGTCCTTCTCTTGCTCACATGATCATACCTGGATGTAGGTACTACAAAATTAATCTCTATCAATCTGGTGTTTTCCATTAATTCTAAAAACTCTTAAATCCATAGAGTTACTAATGGATACCTCAACTTCCTATTCAATCATTGTTGAAATTTGTAATATTTTTCTTAAGCTGTGGGAATCAAATGAGGAATGTACTTAGCCAGTGTAGTAAACTCAGCTTTATACTGCATCAATATCTTGTGTCCTTCTGTTGTCGGACTGAGGGAGGTATAAATCATATTCTTTGAATAACGGGGGCTTCAATTTATGGAATATTTGTAAATGCTTGTCCCCCTATTCTTCCTTGCTTCCAGCTAGCTTGCTTGTATATCCCCCATTACATGTGTTATAACACTAGCCAGTTGCATCATGTACTGAAGCTAGCTACATTTTGATGTTCGTTCAGTAAATTTTACTCGAGGTCAATTTTAGTTGTTCACTTGTATAATCCTGTCTGAATAATTCACACATGTAATCAATTATTTATGAAAAATAATACACCTTAATATATCCAACCTTATTCAATTCATAATTGATTCTAATAGCTTTGATAATAATTCAATTCTTTCAATAATGATGCTCTAATACTAAGTGTCATTCCCAGAATCTAATTAGAAAGAATTGTATCTTTTATTTTTTTATATTAATAACCAAAGCTATCTAACTTTGTTTAATAATATAAAACATCAATGGAAGTCAATTTATTTATCAAAATATCAATATACATTTGTATTCAATACTCTAAAATTATATGCAATAATAAGG